TGACGTGCTACCTCTTTGTGTAATGATAACTTTAATCCTTGTAATAAATAAATTAATTTGGATTGATCTGTCATTTGACTGTCCATTGTTTCACATAACTGAAGAATGTCATTATAATAATGCATCACTGATTCCTGTAACCCTTGTCTGCGACTTTGCAGTTGTTGTGCTGCCAATTGTTTCGCTGCTGGTGATGAATATGTTTTAGCTATTTCGATGCAAAATTTGCTCCATGTGTCCAAATCATCCATATTGCTGAGATACCATTCAGACGCTTCGCCATCTAAATACTTTGCTATCAGTGCTAACTTTGTTGAATCGTCTAGTGTCGCCAGTTTAAATGCATTTCCAATACTTTTCAACCATTTCAACACATTTTCTTCAAATTTGGGTGCTTCTTCTAACTTTTTGGCAAGCAGTGTTTGGACGATTTTACTTGCCATAATGACTTGTGATGGACGATAACAAATTAAACTTGCGTTTTGTGCTTGATTGTTGTTTGTTTGTTCGATTTGAATATCACCTAACCTTTGTGTTTCTTCTGTAAAAATTGCTTTTTGTTGTGCTCTTGTTTGTACCATATAACGGGTTCTTGTACTTACTGTGATGTTGTCTTGACAGTAAGCCGGCTAGTGCACCATTTGTTAGATCCGGTATACGGTGTAGTGTATAAGTAATTTATTACTGAACAAGATGATCTTTACATAAAATTAGGAGCTATTTATACCTGAGGTTAAACGGAAACGGTGGGTTATAACCCAGAGCTAAAAGAATACATTGACATATCTCTTGGAGAAAAGAAACAGTACAGAACGAAACCAAGAGATATTACTGGGAAATTTCCTGATAGAAAGAAAGAGAACAATACAGATACATATATGACAGAAAGAGAAAATACCCATAGCAGAAGAATAGAGAACGAATATATGTAGGACTATTATACAATTGTCTCTTATGGCACGTCTTTAATATGTGCCATAACAACCCCATGTCATCAGAACCGCTAAAATACCGCCGGTTACCGCAGCGGTCACCGCCGAGTGTAATGGGAAGTTAACCTAATGGACATGTGAAATTACCGCACGGTCTACCGAACCGCGCGGTATACCGGTCCGTTGTATCGGTGGTATCAATCGGTATTTTGTCAGTGTGAGCAAACAGTACAGGAGTTCGAATCTAGTTCTCACCTTACTTCTTTTTGCAGTGCGCATGCAGCGCAATGAGGTTTCGGAACGGGAAAAACTCGACTCAAGTCAAAGTGCAAACTTCGACGAGTCTCTATAATCTGAAAGAGAATGTTTAATCCGAAAAAAATCAAAGTTTTTTTACTTTTCTGCGTTTCTTATATAGACTGACAACCGCAAAACAAAAAGGTGATTGTGTCAAAACGGTTTACCGACGGTGTTTTCTTGTACCGTGATCTGAAAACTACTGTGCGGTAACCGTCGGTAGAAGAAAAAACCGTCGCTAAACCTCGTAAACCTTAAAGTTATATAAATTGTATTTTAGGATTCATACTTTATTTTCCTTTCTTAGTTCTTTATTTGACGTTTGGACAATACATTTTTACATACCGGTTACATACCCAAAATAACGGCTGCATACCGAAACTGCTTTTTCCCCGTTGCACAAAAGTCACTTTTTATTTCACTACTATATGTGAACACAGCCCAGCTGGTAAGCAGTTCAGTTCATGAACTGACAGTCAAGAGATCAATACTCTATATGTTCACATTTATTCTGTTCTGTTTAGAAAATCCTGCAACGATCCTAGTCAAGTCCTTCCACGGTACTGGTAACTTCAGCTCTTGTAAGGACATGCTAACTCAATCTTATCCAGCTAATCTCAGCAGATTCCTGGCGCATTCCTTTGAGAAACTTAGATGAAAGTCTAGTGGAATTTGACAGTATCCTCGAAGAGGATGCTGGAAAATTTTTTTCACAAGATATATAATAATCCTGAACAAATCCTGCAAAAAAACTTGGCAGGGTCTTTGACCTTTGTTTTGAATCCTGTCAAGATCTCAAAATCTTGTGCCTACACGCTTCTTCCAGGATTTAGTCGTTTCCTGACCGAATCCTCGTTCAAAAACAATGATAAACCTGTTAGGATCCTTGAAAATCTTGTTGTTAATCCTTTTGAGATCTTGAGATTCCGTGGCTACACGCTTTCTCCAAGATTTGAGGGTTTCCTGGCTCAATCCTGGTTGAAAATCAACGGTAAACCTGTTAGGATCCTCGAAAATATTATTTTGAATCTTTTCAGGATCCTGAAATTCCGTGGCAACACGCTTCTTTAAGGATTTAGTCGTTTCCTGAGGAAAAAAGAGCGAATCCTTGCAGGATCCTTACCATATCTGTCAAGGATCTGGTGCTGAACCATCAAAGGTTTTCCCTAGGGCTTCGTGTATCATTTGAATGTCAACGTTATGTCAAAAGAAAAAATGAAACGTAGGCAAAAAAAACAAGATGTTGATCATGATATTCATTTAGTTTCTGCCAGACAAGCATTATCGAGTGAAGAAACAGACTTAGGAGAATATCATAGACTTTGTCATCATTTGTGATACAATTATTTGGAAGTGTTTAAGAAAACTCGTGATTCATCCTGCTGCATATCTTCTGACATATCTGCATTCTTAATAACGGCTTTTCGATCAGTCATTTCTAAAACAGATCAAAACAAAGTGAAGTAAACTTTTCTAGTATTACCTTGGTTTAGTTTAATCTT